TGAGAACCTGGGACCATGGGCTCTGAGTGCTGGGCCCAGCTTCCCAGGGCCTCACTCACCTCCTCATTTTGTCCCAGGCTTGTGGGTCTCCTGAGGCAGGGCTCAGGGCTGGGACCAGGAGGATAAGGCTGAGGCTCTTCCCCAACCACGCATGATTGTGTGCCCCCTGTCCCAGCAGTCCTGTCGGCCCAGGGGACTCAGGCGTTGCAGGCAGCCCAGAGGAGTGCCCAGTGGGCAATAAACCGAGTGGCGATGGAGATCCAGCACAGATCGCACGAGTGCCGAGGTGCCCACCCTGCCCCCCATGCCCCACTGAACTTGCTGCCTACCCTGGGCCCATTCTGCTGCCCCTGTCCCTTCCCTTCAGCCTTCACTCCCCTCTTGGGGGCAGAGACTGAGTTGGGCAGCAACCAAGACGATATTTGTGAAGGTCCGTCTCTCCAAGTGGAAGGGACTTGCTAGGCTTGGGACATGGCCTGTGCAAAGGCAGGGAGGTAGAAACACTCTGTGCTCCTGTGGTGACCAGGAGAAGTTCATGGTTGTTGAAATAGCACCTGTGTGGGCTGGAGGGCTGAGAGACGGGGAGAAAGAGGCTCGGCCCAGCCTGGGGTGAGGACGGGCGAGAGGGCGGCAGTAAGACTCAAAGCCCTGTTTCTCCGCAGGATCTGGGCGCCCCAGGCTTCAAGCTCCCCTCCAGGACCCACCTGAGCCAGGTGAGGCTGGAAAGGCTGGAGAGGGCAGGCCTGAGAGCCCGGTGGGCCTCGAAGGCGAGGATGGCCAGAACATGTCCCTCGTGACACCCCTTGCCCCTTTCTAGGGCGGTGCGGTGAGAGGCGCCCGAGCACTGCCAACGTGACGCGGGCCCACGGCCGCATCGTCGGGGGCAGCGCGGCGCCGCCCGGGGCCTGGCCCTGGCTGGTGAGGCTGCAGCTCGGCGGGCAGCCTCTGTGCGGCGGCGTCCTGGTAGCGGCGTCCTGGGTGCTCACGGCAGCGCACTGCTTTGTGGGGTAAGTAGGGCCCCCAGGCCCTGCCCAGCCGGGGTCCCCAGCGCTGGGCCCCGCACCTGCCGGGTTGTCCGGCGGGCGACGCGCGGGAAAGGTGGTCTCTGCTGCCCCCTGGCGGCTGCCGGCCCCAGGCTGCCCTGTCTCAAGGGGCAGAGCCCGCCCCGCCAGGATGCCAGCCCGGAGGGGGTGGCACAGCCGGGCGCGTTCGCCCCTCTGGGACGAAACCCCTCCCCGGCCCGCCCTCCCTGCCCCCAAGTAGAGAAAGCCCTGCGTGCGGGCGGAGGGGTAGGGTCTCCGAGGAGCCTGCTGCGTGTGCCCCTGTCCTTCCTGCGTCTCAGCCACCGCTCATCCCGCAGCGCCCCGAATGAGCTTCTGTGGACTGTGACGCTGGCCGAGGGGCCCCGGGGGGAGCAAGGGGAGGAGGTGCCAGTGAACCGCATCCTGCCCCATCCCAAGGTAAGAAGGCAGTCTCCAGGCCCCCAAGGCTGGGAACCGCAGCCCCACTCGCGCCTCCTTGACCCTGTGCCGCCTCCCCCTCCTCAGTTTGACCCGCAGACCTTCCACAACGACCTGGCCCTGGTGCAGCTGTGGACGCCGGTGAGCCCGGGGGGGCCGGCGCGCCCCGTGTGCCTGCCCCAGGAGCCCCAGGAGCCCCCTGCCGGCACCGCCTGCGCCATCGCGGGCTGGGGGGCCCTCTTCGAAGGTACTGGGCGTGGGTGAGCCGGCGCGTGGTGGGAAGAATTGGAGGTCCGAGGTAATAGAGTGTGGGGAGGCCGGGTTGCCTTGGAAAAATGCTGCCTGCTCTTTCAAAGGGGGAGGAATCAAGGAGGGTGGTGGGAAGGGGACACTCAAGGCAGAGCTCTTGCCCTCCAAACCTGAGCCTTCCACCCCTTCCCTGCAGACGGGCCTGAGGCTGAGGCAGTGAGAGAGGCCCGTGTTCCCCTGCTCAGCGCCGACACCTGCCGAAGGGCCCTGGGGTCCGGGCTGCGCCCCAGCACCATGCTCTGCGCCGGGTACCTGGCGGGGGGCGTTGACTCGTGCCAGGTATGAACCTAGTCTGATGAGAAAAGGCCGGCTGAGCCTCCCTAGGGCCACGACGGCCTCCTTTCCTTCCACATCTGGCTGTCACTCGACTTCTCTGAGCCTCTCTGTCCTCATCGCTAAAATGGATACAAGTGGCAAGCTCACGCCTGCCAGGCGTAAGGCGGGCGTCACAGGGGGCAAGTGAATGCAGCGTCCTCTCTCTTGGCCCCGCAGGGTGACTCGGGAGGCCCCCTGACCTGTTCTGAGCCTGGCCCCCGCCCTAGAGAAGTCCTGTTCGGAGTCACCTCCTGGGGGGACGGCTGCGGGGAGCCAGGGAAGCCGGGAGTCTACACCCGCGTGGCCGTGTTCAAGGACTGGCTCCAGGAGCAGATGAGCTGTGAGCGCTCTCTTTCCAATGCCCCGTCCCCAGTGTCCCAACGGACAACCGTGGGACAAGCCCGTTTCCACCCCGCCCGTGCCCATTCCCAGCTCCCTTCTGCCTCTGCAAAGCCTGTCTCCCTCCGGGGAAGGAGTGTGGGAGCTAGGGCCCCAAACAGAGGGTGAGCCGACCCCTGTCCCGCCCGCAGCAGCCTCCTCCAGCCGCGAGCCCAGCTGCAGGGAGCTTCTGGCCTGGGAACCCCCCCAGGAACTGCAGGCAGACACCGCCCGGCTCTGCGCCTTCTATGCCCGCCTGTGCCCGGGGTCCCAGGGCGCCTGTGCGCGCTTGGCGCACCAGCAGTGCCTGCAGCGCCGGCGGCGATGCGGTCAGTTCTGTTCACCGGGACCGGGACGGGGGGGCGGAGGGAAAGGGGCCTGGCCAGCCTCTGACCGCCGCTCCGACTCCTGTACGGTCTGCAGAGCTGCGCTCGCTGGCGCACACGCTGCTGGGCCTGCTGCGGAACGCCCAGGAGCTGCTCGGCCCGCGCCCGGGGCTGCGACGCCTGGCCCCCGCCCTGGCTCGCCCCGCTCCAGCGCTCCAGGAGTCTCCCCGGCACCCTGCCCGCGAGCTGCGGCTGCACTCAGGTACCCCGCGCCCTCCAGCCTAGCCCAGCCCAGCCCTAGCCCGGCCCCACCCGCGCGGCGGAGCCACTTTCTCCGGCCGAGGAGGTCCCCTAACCCTGTGCCTCCCCAGGATCGCGGGCTGCAGGCACTCGATTCCCGAAGTGGAGGCCGGAGCCGCGCGGAGAAGCCAATGGTAATGATGCCCTCTGCCGACCTTCGGGAGGGGATAGGTCGAGGGCCTGGATGAGGTCGGAAGCGCTTTTAGGCAGCTCCGGGAAGCACTTACCCGGTGGGGCAACAGAGTGAACTCACTCTCCCCTCTCCGCCACAGAGCGTAAGACTCTTTTGGAGGACTTGTGGTTTTAGCCCTCTTCAGTGTCAAACAGAGATGCTTTGCCTGGTGTTACTGCTTAACTTCCCCGAGCCTCAGTTTCCCCATCTATATCATAAGAGGCTAAGTGTGTCCCCTGGGAGGCCGTCCTAAAGTGCTGGTGGGAGTGCCACCTCCAGTTCCATACCGCATCCGTTCATTATTCCCGGGGCCTCTCCTCTTCCTCCAGGCTGCCCTGGGCTGGAGCCCCTGCGACAGAAGTTGGCTGCCCTGCAGGGGGCCCATGCCTGGATCCTGCAAGTCCCCTCGGAGCACCTGGCCATGAACTTTCATGAGGTAGGCCCCCAGGCTTCCAAACTCCTTCACAGTGGCCTGGGAAGGCTGAGACCTAGCCCAGGGAAGGTGCAGAGAGCTCAGCCCCGATGCCCTCCCAGCAGCCTGGGGTCACCTCTGCCCCTGCTCTGGGGGTAGGTAGAGGGAGTAGGGCCTGCGGAGTGTAAGCCAGGCCACTGGGGATGGTGGTGGGGAGAGTGAGTAGAGGGGTGGGTGGGGGTGTCCACAGCAGCGGGAAATGAGCAGGGTTTCGGGGAGAAAGGAAGGAGCATGGGTCTAGGTGAGAGTTTCTGGGGCCCAGGGGCAGAGGGGGTGACCTCTGGGATTCCAACTCAGGGCCCCTGATCCCCACTCCTCCCTCTGTAGGTCCTGGCAGATCTGGGCTCCAAGACACTGACCGGGCTCTTCAGAGCCTGGGTGCGGGCAGGCTTGGGGGGTCGGCATGTGGCCTTCAGTGGCCTGGTGGGCCTGGAGCCGGCCACACTGGCTCGTAGCCTCCCCCGACTGCTGGTGCAGGCCCTGCAGGCCTTCCGCGTGGCTGCCCTGGCAGAAGGGGAGCCCGAGGGACACTGGATGGATGTAGGGCAGGGGCCTGGACTGGAGAGGAAGGGGCACCACCCACTCAACCCTCAGGTACCCCCCGCCAGGCAACCCTGAGCCATGTCTGGGCCCCCAGCCCCCGGGGAGGACCTACTGCTCCCAGGAGCTGAGAGGGGCTCGGGAGCATAATCACAAACTGTTGCTGCCACAGTGGCTGGGTGTGTGCGGGTGGGATGGGGTGGGGGTCCTGGGCCCTCCGTGTCTTCCCAGGTTTACAAGCAGAGAATCACAGCGGCTTTAATAAATGTTATTTATAATACATGGAAACAACTCTGGAGCTTTCTTGGGACGGGACCTGGTGGGTGGACATTCAGTCTCAGGGGTGGGATCCAGGCAGGGCTGCCTCTGGAAGCAGTTGGCAAGGGTCACAGAGGCTGGAGAGAGGCTGTGAGGTCACCATCTGAGACTATCTCCTGCTTCCTGAGAAGTGGCAGCAGCTGGCCTGCCTGTCGCCCCACCCCCTTGCATGGCTGCCCAGCGCTGGCCCCAGTGCCCAGCGTCTCCGCTCAGCGCCCTGCCCCTCCCCCGCGCCGTCCTCCCCACTCTGCCCCCTGCTGCCGAGCTGCGGGGAGTCCCAGCCTGGGATCTTTGCCTCACGTCCTTGGGCTCCTGCCCTGGCTGGCCTGTCCCCCACCGCCATGAGGTGTCAGATTGTGTTTCCGGCTGCCTCTTCCCTTTGACTCCCTCCTCCCCCAACACCTGTCCCCTCTCCCGCCCACCCTCATTCCACAGCCCTGTAGATGGGAGGGGCAGATGCAGGTCCCAGTCAGAGGGATGGGATGGAGGGGCCAGTGCTGACACTGGGGCTGCTGGCCACCCTGGCGGTGTGTGGTAAGGGTAGACATCTTCCCCACCCTGGGGTCCCCCGTGATGCCCACCCAGGCCCCACACGGTATGGCCTCCTCTCACTCCCCACTCCCACTCTGCCATCTCTCCCTGCTGGGGAGCCGCCTTCTGGGATCCCCACTCCCAGGGAGTGGTTGGATTCCTCCCTGCTCATCCCAACCTCATGGTCCAGCAGGACCTCAGGGCAGCTTCCCTCCTGAGTCCCCTGCCCAGGGCCCCATTCAGTCCTTGTCCCTGACCCTCCCCAGGCATCTGGGGGCTGAACGAGGAGAAGCGGCTGATCCGGCACCTGTTTCAAGAGAAGGGCTACAACAAGGAGCTCCGGCCCGTGGCACACAAAGAGGAGAGTGTGGACGTCGCCCTGGCCCTCACGCTCTCCAACCTCATCTCCCTGGTGAGAGGCCCTCTGCTGCTGGGTTGGGAGGTAGAGCAGGGACAGCTTCCCAGGACCAGGATAGCCATGGAGGAATACAGAAGCCCCTGCCTGGCCTATGGCGGCTCCCTTTCTGGGAAATGTGCTGGAGCTGCTCTGTGCCCTGACAGGCTGCTGTCCTGCCCCTCCAGTGTAAGCTCTGGGGTGTCCTCCATCCACACCCATAGCACGACCCATCTGTGACGCACTTCAGAGGCCACCGGTCCTCTCTGCTCCCTAGCTGCCCGCCCACTCCTGACTGCGAGTGATCAGGGCCCAGATGCCATGGTGTCCCTGGGTGCCAGTTGAGAGTGGGTGAATGTAGGCTGGGCATAGTGGATTACGCCTGTAATCTCAGCACTTTGGGAGGCCAAGGTGGGCGGATTACCTGAGGTCAGGAGTTCGAGACCAGCCTGGCCAACATAGTGAAACCCTGTCTCTACTAAAAATATAAAAATTGGCTGGGTGTGATGGCGTGTGCCTGTAATCCCAGCTACTAGGGAGGCTGAGGCAGGAGAATTCCTTGAACCAAAGAGGCAGAGGTTGCAGGTTGCAGTGAGCCAAGATCGTGCCACTGCACTCCAGCCTGGGCAATTGAACAAGATTCAAAAAAAAAAAAAAAAAAAAAACAGAGACAGTGGGTGAATGTGTGTGGATAAAAGAATGATATGGCCCTGAAGGATGGCCCTACCATCTAATTACAGAAAGAAGTTGAGGAGACCCTCACTACCAATGTGTGGATAGAGCACGTAAGAATGCCCCTCCCAGCTGGGCGCAGTGGCTCATGCCTGTAATCCCAGCACTTTGGGAGGCCGAGGCGGGCAGATCACGAGGTCAGGAGATCAAGACCATCCTGGCTAACACGGTGAAACCCCGTCTCTACTAAAAATACAAAAAATTAGCCGGACGTGGTGGTGGGCGCTGGTAGTTCCAGCTACTTGGGAGGCTGAGGTAGGAGAATGGAGAATGGTGTGAACCCAGGAGGCGGAGCTTCAAGTGAGTCGAGATTGTGCCACTGCACTCCAGCCTGGGTGACAGAGCAAGACTCCATCTCAAAAAAATAAAATAATGCCCCTCCCAGAGCCAGTAGGGTAGCGGGAATGCAGGGTTCCAGGCTGCTTCCACTTGGAGATCCCATCTGCCTTGGACACTGTTCCCCAGGAGGGGTTGGTGCCTCCCTACAGAGAAGCCCCAGGCCCAACTGTCCTTCCCCCACCTAGTGCCCTCACCAGCCCCTAGAGCCACCTTCAAGTGGATTAGGATTCACATGTTGGAAAACTGCCACTTTATCTTGGTTTTTATTAGAAAACATTCTCCTCCTGTCTGTCAAAAGTCCACAATACAAACACAAATCTCCTATGCTCACAGTGGAAATAATGCTCCCTTAGTTGTGCAGTGAGCATCCTGCACAGCTGTCCATGACAGACCTGAATCCACACTCTGTACCTGCCTTCCCCAAACCTCTTTTGTCACAGCTCTCAGACCCTGTTCAGTCTTCTCTCAGGGAAGTAGGGGGAGCCAGGAGCCTGGACAGCTGCAGAGTGCACTGCTGACATGCCTTTGGGATTCCAGGGCTGGACAGACAACCGGCTGAAGTGGAATGCTGAAGAATTTGGAAACATCAGTGTCCTGCGCCTCCCCCCGGACATGGTGTGGCTCCCAGAGATTGTGCTGGAGAACAAGTTGAGCCAAGCCCTCCCTGACCTCCTCTCTGTCACCCTGCCTCCTTTCCTTAAGCCTCCTCTGCATCCCCCAACTCTGCCAGTCCTGAGTCGCCAGAGCTCACTGTGGTTCTTGTCCCTGTTCCCCAGCAATGATGGCTCCTTCCAGATCTCCTACTCCTGCAACGTGCTTGTCTACGACTACGGCTTTGTGTACTGGCTGCCACCTGCCATCTTCCGCTCCTCCTGCCCCATCTCTGTCACCTATTTCCCCTTCGACTGGCAGAACTGCTCCCTCAAGTTCAGGTGCTCCCATTTATCCAGCCATCCCTTACCCCAAAGCACCCTACCAGGGGCCGAAGGAGGTGACTGAAGCACCCCCAGACAGAGGCCCCTGCCCTGTCCGGATTAGTGCTGCCCTCCCCACAATGGTCCTCCCTTACTAACCTTTCCCCGCTCTGTGGCCCCAGCCAGTGACTGAGTGTCACTCTCTGCCCATTGCCTTCCCCAGTTCCCTCAAGTACACGGCCAAAGAGATCACCCTGAGCCTGAAGCAGGATGCCGAGGAGAACCGCACCTACCCCGTGGAGTGGATCATCATTGACCCTGAAGGCTTCACAGGTGCTGGGAGCAGCCACCAGTGGGTGGGCAGGTCCCTCAGACACACACACACAGACACACTGGCACTGCCCACCCAAGAGATACACACGTGCACACACACCTACCTAGAACACCGATACACAGCTACTCACACACGCAGCTAGACACAGAAGGGCAGACACATGCCCGCCCACAGACACTCACACTTCCTGAATGCAAAGCTATCCCAAAGGCAGAGAGAGTCGGTGCCAGTGCCCTCCTCCGCCCCTGCCCAGGCCCGGAAGTCATGCTTCTCACACATGAGACGCCTGTGGCTGACAGGGGTTTAGTGTTTCCTGTGCCTGGTGAACCCAGGGCTGTGGTTGGCATGAGGGCTGTGTCATCCTGATCGGGGGTGTCTGCCACCCCACCTGACATCCTCATCCCCGATCTGTACCCAGGCTCGGATTCTCCATGGGGCCTACCACCCACCCCGTCCATCAGAAGGGACCCTGTCTCACTGTCTCAGGCTGGCACATCATGGCAGGGATAGTTTTACTGTCACTGGCTCATTATCCCCCAGGCCCAGGCCGAGGAGGAGTGGCTCTATTAATGTCCAGGAGGTTTTTTTTTTGTTACTCAGGAAGACAGGCTCAATATCTGAGAGCATTTGTTTGACTTGGTCTCTTTAATCTGCAATACCTATTTTTGGCTCATGTATCTTTTGAGCCAAAAGATACTCCTTATTTGAATCCTGTATGGCCTCAGCTTCTACTTTTTCCGAAAAGATAAAAAAGAAATCAGTCACAGAGGAAGATTTCCCCTCACAGACGGAAACTTCCATCCCGACGCCCCAGGGAACGACACCCAGACAGCCGGCCGGGTCTCTGGACTGGCTTGCCCCGCCCAGCCCCTCATTCTGTCCCCAGGCCCTGCCTAGCCCCTTTGGCCTGGCCTGACTCTAAGGTGTCCATGTACTGCCCTCAGAGAACGGGGAGTGGGAGATAGTGCACCGGCCGGCCAGGGTCAACGTGGACCCCAGAGCCCCTCTGGACAGCCCCAGCCGCCAGGACGTCACCTTCTACCTCATCATCCGCCGCAAGCCCCTCTTCTACATCATCAACATCCTGGTGCCCTGTGTGCTCATCTCCTTCATGGTCAACCTGGTCTTCTACCTACCGGCCGACAGTGAGCCTCCAGGCCCTGTTCCCTGCTCCCCCTCCCCATGCCCACCCGAACACAGCCAGCCCCAGCCCTGCCCCCTCACTTCCTCCTGGGAGCCACCTGGGATTTCCATTCCTGGAGCTCCCTGCCTGGGCCAGGTGTGAGGGCCAGGTGGACACCCAGAGGGAGGGCTGTATGATTCTGGGCGACATCCCCAAATGGACAGGGCAGGGCATCTCCAAGATGCTACTTCCCACGGACTCGCAGAAGAACTGCTAAACTGTCCTCTGTCAGAGCAGAGACTAAGTCCCTCACGGTCACCAGTATGTGACCTTGAGCCTGGCACACAGGAGGCCCTCAACTACTGAACGAGTGGGTGAATAACAGGGTCTCTAGGACAGTAGGGTGTGAGGCAGAAAACCTGTCTTTGCTCACCTGACTCTAGGAGGCAGTGGTTTACAAGTTCAGAATATTTACTATGAGCAGGGCATAGTGAGTCCCCAGGTCAAAGGCCACCCAGCCCCTGCCCCTGGCGGGACTTCAGCAGGGAGAAGGGGGGCACCTTCCATCTGCAGTGGGGTTGGGAGAGCTCCTAGAGGAGGTGGAGTTGGAATGGACTTGAGCAGGATTGGGTGGGGCTACCCTCGGCAGGAGGAGCAATGCTGATGAGGAGGGGGCCAGGCAAGGGCTGAGGGGGCCTCAGCAGGGGAGCCCCCCCCCCGCCCTTGCAGGAGCTCAGGTGGGAAGAGCAAGACAGCACTGGGCTGGGGTGTCTGAGTGAGGGGCTGGGAGTTGGGGTGTTATCCTGGTGCTATGAGGACACCCTGGTGCTTTCTGAGCAGGGAGTAATGCACACAGATCTGCGCTCCAGGAGGGTTCAGTGGCGTGGGTGGGTTGTGACAGCTGATTTTCATGAGCACTTACCCAGTGCCAGGCAGAGTGATGTGTGTTAAACACACTCTCACCATATTCAACAGTTGAGAAAACTGATGCACAGAGAGGCTGGGCTACTTGCCCAAGGTCACCCAGCTAGTAAGTGGCAGAGCTGATATTTGCACCCAGGGCCTGTAGCTCCATAACCCATGATTTTTATCAGGACACCATGGTACTACAGAGGTGCCAGGGGCCACAGCAGGACCCTCTAGGACTAGGGCCCCAAGGTCCTAGTTTCCCCAAAGAAGCTAAGTCTGGCTTCCCCAGGTGGTGAGAAGACATCAGTGGCCATTTCTGTGCTCCTGGCTCAGTCCGTCTTCCTGCTGCTCATCTCCAAGCGGCTGCCCGCCACATCCATGGCCATCCCCCTTATCGGCAAGTGAGTGATGCCCAAGCCCGGCCCCACCCTGCTTGCCCAGCCCAGCCCTGGGGCTCCAAGCTGAGTGTGTGCCCGCAGGTTCCTGCTCTTCGGCATGGTGCTGGTCACCATGGTTGTGGTGATCTGTGTCATCGTGCTCAACATCCACTTCCGAACACCCAGCACCCACGTGCTGTCTGAGGGGGTCAAGAAGGTGAGTACTCGGCCCGGCGCCATGGCTCACCACTGTAATCCCAGTATTTTGGGAGACTGAGGCGGGAGAATCTCTTGAGCCCAGGAGTTGGAGACTAGCCTGGGCAACATAGTGACACTCCCATCTCTACAAAAAAATCAAACAAAAAATTAGCCAGGTGTGGTGGCGCATGCTTGTAGTCCCAGCTACTCAAGAGGCTGAGGTGGATCACTTGAGTCTGGGAGTTCAAAGTTGTAGTGAGCTGTGATCGCCCCAGGGCACTCCAGCCTGGGCAACAGAGTGAGACCTTGTCTCAAAAAAAAAAAAAAAGGAAATGAGCACTCTCAATAGCCAAAAGCTGGAGATTGAGCCAGGTACAGTAGTTCACACCTGGAGTCTCAGCTACTCAGGAGGCTGAGGTGGGAGGATCCCTGGAACCCAGGAGTTGGAGGTTGCAATGTGCTATGATCTCATCACTGCACCCCAGTCTGGGCAACAGATTGAGATCCCATCTCTAAAAAAAAAAAAAAAAAAAAAAAAAGGCAGGGGCCGGCCGTGGTAGCTCACGCCTGTAATCCCAGCACTTTGGGAGGCTGAGGCGGGTGGATCACCTGAGGTCAGGAGTTTGAGACCAACCTGGCCAACATGGTGAAACCCCATCTCTACTAAAAATACAAAAATTAGCCAGGCATGATAGCATGTGTTTGTAATCCCAGCTATTCGGGGGGCTGAGGTATGAGAATTGCTTGAACCTGGGAGGTGGAGGTTGCAGTGAGCCAAGATCCCACCACTGCACTCCAGCCTGGGCGACAAGAGCGAAACTCCATCTCCAAAAAAAAAAAAATCTGGAAGTTGTCCAAAGGCCATCTGTAGAATGGATAGAGACACTGGACACATACTCCCACAGGAGTGCTGCTCAGCAGTGCAGAAGCACCGCGGCTACTGCACCCCTGCATGCGTGAACCTCCTGGCAGACTGATCCGTGAAAGAAACCAGACGCAGAGGCACATGCTGCAGGCCTCACTTTGTAAGAAGTTCAAGAACAGGCCAAATCAATGTTTGGTGATAGAAGTCAGAATGGTGGCTATCTCTGGGGCTGGGAGGGAACTGAGCGGGGGCAGGTATGAGGTAGATTTTTGGGGATCATGCTCACTATCTCATCACTGGGGATTTACCCAGTGGAATGCATCTGTAAAAATTCATCTAGCTATATACTTAATGTGTTCATTCCACTGTATCCTGCAATTCAGAAGGAAGAAGGGGAGGACTGAGTGGGCAGGATGCTGGGAGAGGGATGCCCTTGCCTCTCGGCTACTGCAGGGCTGGCTGGCTGGCTGTTCTGGGACAGCTGAAGTCAGTTTAGCAACTCTTTTTTTTTTTTTTTTTTTTTTTTTGAGATGGAGTCTCCCTCTGTCGCCCAGGCTGGAGTACCATGGTTCGATCTCAGCTCACTGCAACCTCTGCCTCCCAGGTTCAAATGATTCTCATGCCTCACCCTCCTGAGTAGCTGGGATTACAGGCACCTGCCACCATGCCCAGCTAATTTTTGCATTTTTAGTAGAGATGGGGTTTTGCCATGTTGGCCAGGCTGGTCTCGAACTCCTGACCTCAAGTGATCCACCTGCCTTGGCTTTCCAAACAGTTGGGAGTATAGGCGTGAGCCACCATGACCGGCCTTAGCAACTCTTTTCTTTTCAGCATTTGATGGGGGAGACTGTAGCATTTGGAGGATTTACCTTAGTTTTTGGTCTTTAATTAATCATTTTTAGTGAATGGGTTCTCCCCCGCACCATGGGTGATGTGGTCTCGAGAGCTGGAAGCAACCTACATATGCATCAGTAGGGATCAGGGAATCAATGACAGAGTCAGATAGGCGAGCACTTTGTGGCAGCCAGGAATGAAGTCACGTATGTTAGGACGTATAAAGGTCACCCCATGCTTGTAAAATGGCCTTTCTTGGCTGGGCGCAGTGCCTCACGCCTGTAATTCCAGCACTTTGGGAGGCCGAGTTGGGCGGATCACGAGGTCAAGAGAGCAAGACCATCCTGGCCAACATGGTGAAACCCCATCTCTGCTAAAAATACAAAAATTAGCTAGGTATGGTGGCATATGCCTGTAGTCCCAGCTACTTGGGAGGCTGAGACAGGGGAATCACTTGAATCCGGGAGGTGGAAGTTGCAGTGAGCCGAGATCGTGCCATTGCACTCCAGCCTGGCGACAGAGTGAGACTCCATCTCAAAACAAAACAAAACAAAACAACAACAACAAAACGCCTTTCTTGTGGCCCCTTGACACGGCCCCAGCTCTTCCTGGAGACCCTGCCAGAGCTCCTGCACATGTCCCGCCCAGCAGAGGATGGACCCAGCCCTGGGGCCCTGGTGCGGAGGAGCAGCTCCCTGGGATACATCTCCAAGGCTGAGGAGTACTTCTTGCTCAAGTCCCGCAGCGACCTCATGTTTGAGAAGCAGTCAGAGCGGCACGGGCTGGCCAGGCGCCTCACCACTGCACGTGGGTTCCTGCTGGTCTTGGTTTTCAGCCCATCTGTGGGAGGTGGGGGCAGGCCTCACACCCACTCTGGCCCCTTGTCCATAGGCCGGCCCCCAGCAAGCTCTGAGCAGGCCCAGCAGGAACTCTTCAATGAGCTGAAGCCAGCTGTGGATGGGGCAAACTTCATTGTTAACCACATGAGGGACCAGAACAATTACAATGAGGTAAGGGACCACAGGATTGCCATGTACAGGTGTTCAAGTAGGGCACTGATTAAGTATATTCTATCTTAAGAGGGCAGGGTTCCCCTTACAGACACACACCAACTTAGATGAGGGAGTTAAGGTGATACAGATTCCAGGCCCCTCCCAGGGAGAGGGAACTCCTGCCTGGCACCCTATAGCAGCACTGGGGCCAGGCACACACACAGAGGCATACAGCTCCACCCTGTCCAGGCCACACACTCTGAGCACCCCTTAGGGTCCCTTCTTTCTCCCAGCTGCCAATCATTTTCTGTCCCTACTCAGTTTCAAGCCTGATACTCCAGACAGAACCAGACGTTTTAAAGGTAGCCATATACGGTTATTCAACATTGTACAACTTCTAAAAATTCTCTCTTGAGAAAAGGCATCTTTTCCCAGTTCACATATGGGCTGGCAGCAGCCCTGACTTGCTGGATTGGGGAGAAAGAGGAGAGGGGTCTATCCACCTTCCTTAGCCGCTAGGAGAGACCCCTGGGCCTCAGTTCCTCTCTAGCCCCAGAACCCTGTGCTACAGCAGAGAGGGAGGCTATGGTCTGTTCTCTGCCTCCTCAACAGAGTGATCAGCCCTGCCTGTGGCCAGAGGCGCCTGGGACCTTGCTGGGGACAAGCCGGCAGTATCCTGCAAGCCAGAGGCAGCCTCTGCAGGCACACTGAGCGGGGCCTCTGCCTCCATGGCTGGGCCTCAGCTTGGGGGTGGGGCTCTGTGGCCTGAGGCCCTTCTCACCCCACTCTCTCTGCCCCTACCCACAGGAGAAAGACAGCTGGAACCGAGTGGCCCGCACAGTGGACCGCCTCTGCCTGTTTGTGGTGACGCCTGTTATGGTGGTGGGCACAGCCTGGATCTTCCTGCAGGGCGTTTACAACCAGCCACCGCCCCAGCCTTTTCCCGGGGACCCCTACTCCTATGACGTGCAGGACAAGCGCTTCATCTAGGGTGGGCCTGTGGGGGAGCCAGGAGACAGCAGGGTCTGAGAGAGGAGCCATGGTCCCTAATGAGACCCACTCATAGCCCTGAGGCTCACGCCCCTCAGACTGGGGAAGAGTCCAGGGAAGGAAGGGAGCAGCCACTCCTCAATGCTCAATGGCTCCCCTGAAATCAAGACAGGGCCACCTGAGATGGTCTGAGGGTGGACACCGGCTACAGCAGGTGGGCAGGACGATCTGTGGGGAAGTAGGAGGCTGGCTCAGGGGCCAGGGAGGAGGCCGGCTCAGGGGCCAGGGAGGAGGCCACTCAGGGTGGCCTCACAGGGAGAACTCTGATAGGGGTGAGACAGATAGGGCCCCTTCTCTGCTCCTCCTCCCACAAGGTGTGGGGTAGAGCAGGCAGGAATCTGCGCCTTCACTCCCTGGCTCCTCCAGCCTCCCTCTTCCCACCTACCCTTCAACCTCAGGCTTCTGAGGCCTCACCTGGGACTGAGGTTGAGGACACCTCCCTCCCTCAAGACCCCAGAGTATCCTTTCCTAGCTTTTTCTGCCTTGACCACTCTGCCTAGGTCCCTTTGGGAAGTTGAGGACTGGAGTGGAAAGGTCAGGATTGACATCCACAAAGACTTGGGGTCAACCTGAGGTTGCACACACAATCCTAGAGGACCAGAATGCAGCACCTCTCCCCAAAGGGCCCCTGCCCCCCAGCATCTACTCCTCCCCAAAGTAGGGTTGTCATACATTATTTGGGGCATATTCTAAAAAAATCATTCGTTGTTTCTCTGAAATTTGTCCTGTATTTTTATTTGCTAAATCTAGCAACCCTATCCCAAAGACAGCCTCCATTCAATCCTATCCTGAGGGCCAAAGGCCAATGCTGCAGGAATTGGGAGACAAGGGTCTGTTTGTATGGCAGCCCACCTCCAAGATGGCCCCGGTGATACCCAGTATTCACACTCTTGTGCAGTCCCCTCACTCTGTACCAGGGTGGGTCTGGGTAACCAACAGAATGAGGCAGAAGTGATGGTACCTCACTTCCCAGATTCAGTTAGGAAAGACACTAGGGCCTCTTTCTTGCTCATTCACCCTCATTCTCACAGCAGTTGGATCTCTCACTTTGGGGAAGCCAGCTGGCACGTTGAGGAGCCCTATGGAGAGGCCCACACGGCAAGGAAATAAGGCCTCCTGCCATCAGCCACGTAAGCGAAGGTGGAAGTGGATCCTCTGCCCCAGTAGGGCCTTTGGATGAGATCACAGCCCAGTAGACATCTTACGTGCAGCACCATGAAAGTCCCTAAGCCAGAACCACCAGCTAAGTGGCTCCTGGATTCCTGATCCCCCAGAAACTGTGTGAGATAATAAATGTGTGTTGTTTTAAGTAACAAAGTTTTGGTGTCATTTGTTATACCAGCAATGTGACCTTGAGTGAGCTGCTCTTCATCTCTTACCTTCCATTTTCTAATCTGCAAAATGTGTGTCTAGTGAGTCCTAGTCATGGGGTGTTGTGAAAATTGAATTTCTAGTAGTAGCATTTTCATGTGACCTGCACATTTAATGGGTGGTGATTTAACCCATTTCCCTCAGTGGGGAATTGGTGACCTCATTAACTCAGATATATAGAAGGTGAGATTTTTAATGTTTAGATGTAACCAAGGAAAAAGAAAAACCATTTAAAACCAAAACTGACCCCAGTAACTTCTGCCTTCCAGCATGAACTATATTCACAAAATTCAAGGTACAAATCTTTTATTTTCCTGTCTAAATAGGAAAGCCAGTTTGTTCTCACACCCGTCAGGTGAGCAGGAAGTCTGAGACTTCGCCAGGAATAGTCCATCAACTCAGGGAGGGTCCGTCTTAAGTACAGGGATGAGAGTGAGTCTAGGGCTCTCAGCCACAGTCTTTGCTTCTCTCTGCCTCATGGTGGCGCTGCTGGCAACAGGTCTTGGTTCAACCACCAGCTGAGTCCTCAGTTCTATTAGGCCCTGCTCAAGTGGCTGTGGACTTCCAGAGAAGACAATCCCAAAATGTCACACAAAACTGGGGGGGTGCCTCTTGCACAGACTCCCAGGGAAACCACGGTTTCCACCAGCAGCACCCGCTCCCCCAGCACCGTGGTGCTCTCAGGACTGGTCCACTCTGACTGACATGGAACTCCATATTCTGTCCCCAGGAAGTCATGCTCATGGGCACAGCTTTCCGGGAAGCCAGAGCGTGTTCCTTACTCTCTCCAGACCAACAGGGCTACCTGCTCTCTTTCAATGGACAGTGAATCAGTAATACACTGGGATGCAAGGAACAGAAAGCTCAAGGAATTGTAGTTTAAACACAAAAGGTTTCCTTTTTCTCACATAATAATAGGGAGGCGGAGGTGATCACACCGCCTCAGCTGTCTAACAAAGCTATCAGGGACCCAGGCACTTTGCCATCTGCCCAGCCCTGCCTCCATGGCAAGCTGGCTTCTGTCCTCAGACCTGTTGGCCCCAGGTTGCGAGCTGACAGCAACAGCTGCACAATTAGCACCTATGTTCAGGCAGAAAAGGGCCAGCCATTTCTGACCCCTTTCATCAAGAAGCAAAACTTTTCCAGAGGCCGGACATAGTGGCTCACGCCTGTAATCATAGCACTTTGGGAGGCCAAGGCGGCTGGATCACCTGAGGTAAAGAGTTCAAGACCAGGCTGGCCAACATGGTGAAATCCCCTCTCTACTAAAAACACAAAAATTAGATGGGTGTGGTGGTGCCCGCCTGTAATCCCAGCTACTCAGGAGGCTGAGGCAAGAGAATTGCTTGAACCCAGGAGGCAGAGGTTGCAGTGAGCCGAGATCAAGCCATCGTACTACAGCCTTGGCAACAAGAGTGAAACTCCATCTCAGAAAACAAACAAACAAACAAAAAATAACTTTTACATAAAGTCCCTGCAGACATCCCACAGGTCAAAACATCACATGGCTAGCCTATCTGAAGGGAGACTAGGAAATGAGTATTTTGCTCTACCAGCCATTATAACAGAGGGTGGCAAAGGAGTAGTGTTAGACAATTCTACAGATAATTTTCTCTGAATGGGTCCTGTCCCTGCACACGTAACCCCTCCAAGAAACTGCCATTCCTCATTGATGATTTACACTTTGGAGAACACCAAGAAGGCTTCTAGGCCGTCTCTCCCAGAGCAGGGAGAGGGAGAAAACAGGAGGGTCGGGGGCAGGAATGCAGGGACAGGTGGTCCACTGTTTGGCAGTGCTTCCACATCTTGGAGGCCATTGATGAATTTGGTCAAGTGTGGGCATGAAGGAGAGTAAAGAGGTGGAGAGAAAATGGTCTGCAAAAGAGGATAAGAAAACTGCATCTAGGGGGACCAGAGGGCAAAATGGAAAGGCAAGGGTCTCAGAAGTGAGAAGGACACAAGGGCTTTGTAAATTCCAGGAAAAGTGGGCCACACAGAGAGAAGCTCAGTGGCGGGGGAGGGGTGAGCTTCCCCCCCACTGAGGGGAAGCTCAGGGAGGGGGAAGCTCAGGGAGGAGGAAGCTCGGGGAAAGGGAAACCCAGTGAGGGGGAAGCTTAGGGAGGGGGAAGTTCATGGAGAGGGATGCTGAGTGAGGGTGATACCGAGTGAGGGGGACGCGCAGTGAGGGGGATGCCGAGTGAGGGGGATACGGAGTGAGGGCGATGCCGAGTGAGGGCGATGCCGAGTGAGGGGGATGCCGAGTGAGGGCGATGCCGAGTGAGGGGGATGCCGAGTGAGGGCGATGCCGAGTGAGGGCGATGCCGAGTGAGGGGGATGCCGAGTGAGGAGGATGCCGAGTGAGGGCGATGCCGAGTGATGGGGATGCCGAGTGATGGGGATGCGCAGTGAGGGAGATGCCCAGTGGCAGGCCAAGATGGGCGGATCACTGGAGTTCAGGAATTCAAGACTGGCCTGGCCAACATGGTGAAACCCCGTCTCCACTAAAAATACAAAAAAAAAAAAAAAAATAGCCAGGCATGTTGGCACGTGCCAGTAGTCCCAGCTACTCAGAAGGCTGAAGTAGGAGAATCGAGGTGGAGGTTGTAGTGAGCCAAGATCGCACCACTGCACTCCAGCAAAAAACAAACAAACAAAATCCTCACATGCCTACCCAACAGCCTTCACACCCACCCAAATCCTGACTCCCTAGAGGGAGCAGGAGGGAGTCCACCTCAGCCCTCTCTGGAGCTGCCATCAGGTTCCTTGGCAACCTGCCTTCCCTACCACACCCAGCTGGCCCTGGCTGTGTCCTTGGCCCCCATGTGGAACACAGAGGTGGGGCTGGGACAACTGAGCCCGAGTTGGGGCTGGAAGGTGGATGTCTCTTTTGGGGCAGACGGGGCCCCTGTCTCCCTTCTCCAGCCCAGGTAATCTGAGCCCAGCATTGTGTCCATCCTGGAACAGCTGACAAGGCTGTGGTCAGACAGCTGGTGGGGCTGGGCCGGGTTGGCTGGGCTGACTGGGGTAGGAGTGTAGGCTGTTATATGACACCCAGAGCCCATCTCTCTCTGCCCCAGACCTTGGAGCTGTTGTCCCACCCATCACTGCAGATTGCTGAGGCGCCATGCATGGGGGCCAGGGGCTGCTGCTCCTCCTGCCGCTGCTGGCTGTCTGCCTGGGTAGGACACAAAGGAATCTCAGCCTAGGGAGTCCCAGAGCTGGGGTCCACGGCCTCAGGGGATGGAGAGCCTGAGGGCTATTGGGGCCTGCCCTGGATCCAGTTCCCTGAGTCTCCACTTCACACCCCCAGGGCCTCCCCAATCTTTCCACCTCCAAGCTCCTGCTAGGCTCACGCCTGTCTATTGCAGGGGTCCAGGGCCGGAACCAGGAGGAGCGCCTGCTCGCAGACCTGATGCAAAACTACGACCCCAACCTACGACCTGCGGAACGAGACTCGGATGTGGTCAACGTCAGCCTGAAGCTAACCCTCACCAACCTCATCTCCCTGGTAAGCCGCAGGATGGAGGAGGGGTCAGTGCACCAGGCCCTGGGACCCGCTGGGGATAGCATGCGGTGACTCCAGCCACCAAGAGGTTGGAGGGCCCCACAGGGGACAGGCTGGGGTCTGGAAAACCCCCATGATTGTGGGGGGTGTACTGTCAAGAGGCTGGGGGATGCTTGGCCCCATCGGTGGCCTGTGGGATTGGCACTGAAGTCGGGGGCTGAGCCCTCCATACTGTACCCTTGCACCCCCAGAACGAGCGAGAGGAAGCCCTCACCACCAACGTCTGGATAGAGATGGTAAGAGGCCACCCTGCTACCCTCCTTCCATCAGGGGCCCCACCTCACCACCCCAAGGCCTCCTGAGAGTTGCCTGCCCCCTTCCTGCCTCTTCTGTCCTCTTGGGCTGGATGCCCACTCCCAGGGGTGTGGTGCAGCAGAGGGCAGAGGCCTAGCAACTGCCCCTCCCCCTGCAGCAGTGGTGCGACTATCGCCTGCGCTGGGATCCGCGAGACTACGAAGGCCTGTGGGTGCTGAGGGTGCCGTCCACCATGGTGTGGCGGCCGGATATCGTGCTGGAGAACAAGTGAGGAGGGGGCGCAGACAGGGGTGTGGGGGACAAAGAACACAGGGTCTCGGCCCAGCAGAACAAGGGGGCTCTGGGAAAAGAGAAAGATGAGCAGGGGGTGCAAATTGGGCACCTGTGTGGCTAGGGAAGAACTGGATGGAGCAGGTGCCAAGGGCAGGGCCCTGGGTATGGCCTCTGACCCCAGGGCCAGCAGACCAGACCCTACGCCAGGCTCCATCCCCTCTGGGCTGGGCCACCTGGTGGGCTGCTCCCTTCCCTGTAACATGGGGCCACTGACGGGTCCTACAGAAGCTGGTGGGAGTCAACAAGACAGGCATGAAAAGTGCATCACTTGGGGGCTGGCACATGGTGTGGGCTTAACACGTTAATCGTTATTATATTATTATTATTATTATTAAAACAAGAGAGAAAAAGAGAAGCAGAAATTAGGAGGTGGTGCCTGAGGAAGTCTGTCTGGGGCAGGGGTGGCAGGAGGATTGCTGGGGGGACCTAGTGGTCCAGGTGGGAACCACTCAGGGGGTGACAGGCTGGTAGGGACTTGTGTCCCCAGGCCCCTATCCACATGGGGCAGAGGGGCTGGTCTGGGGCTGGGGTGTCGGGGGCTGAGCCCACAGCCTCATGGCCTGGCCTGTTCTGTGCACACAGCGTGGACGGTGTCTTCGAGGTGGCCCTCTACTGCAATGTGCTCGTGTCCCCTGACGGCTGTATCTACTGGCTGCCGCCTGCCATCTTCCGTTCCGCCTGCTCTATCTCAGTCACCTACTTCCCCTTCGACTGGCAGAACTGCTCCCTTATCTTCCAGTGAGGCCATTTATGGGGGAGGATTAAGAGAGCTGCTCTCAGAGGGCCCTGGGCAGGGGTGGGGCAAGGCCTGGGCAAGACTTCTGGCCTTGGCTCCGGCAGCACCTAGAGGCCAAGGGCCTGGCTCCATCTCCCCTAGGCCTCTGTGCCCATCTCAGGCTAAGACGCCTGAAGGTGCCCGAGCTCTCCCTGCTAAGCCCGAGTCCCCTCACTCATCCTCCTTCACTGCCTCAGTTTCCTTGCCGGTGCCCCAAGGGGAGACATTCACACCTGGGGTGCATGGGTGAGAAGGCACACATGCACACAACATGCATGTCTGCGCACACACGAAACCACTGCACACTCCAGGCCCACGGGGAGGCGGGCTGTTCTGTGAGAGAGGGACCCTGGCAGGGAACCCAGCGGAAGCATGTGTACAACCAAGCCACCCCTGGGCGTCTCTGGGTCTGTTTCCTCAAACCTAAGTGTGGGGAGGAGGGCCTGAGGGAGGGTTCTCCTGTATCTTAGAGGAGCAGTCTTTCCACAAGCAAACCTGGCAGGGAGACTCCCCTCCATAGACACAAGGGTCCTCCTTAGTTAGGCATGTATATTCTACATTGCCATCATCAGCCCCTCCTGCCAGACAGCAGTGGGAGGGACACATGCAGAGTGGCCCTGGGCCCATCAGCCAGGTGAGGGCCCTGCAGCCTCCTGGGCCTTCAACTCAATCTTCCTGACCCCAAAGAGCCCTAGGTCCCCTGCTCTCCATATCCTACCACTGGGGTTTTATGGAGAACTCAGAAGCATGGGGCTGCATCTTGCTGGAGCAAAGCTGCCCACACTTGTCCCCAGATGGTCATCCCCATGCAGTCATGGCAGGTCTACCCACTCACATTTAGCCTCTTTCCTCGGTGACTCCCAGGTCCCAGACTTACAGCACCAATGAGATTGATCTGCAGCTGAGTCAGGAAGATGGCCAGACCATCGAGTGGATTTTCATTGACCCTGAGGCCTTCACAGGTAACCCCCACCCAAGGGCTCCCCAGGCAGCCTATCCAGGGCTCCTGCTGGACCAAGCTGTGGTCAAGGCTGGACCAAGGTCAAATCCCTCCCATGTAACTCAAAATGAAAACTACAGCAAACCATAAAATACGCTTTTTAAAAAGTCCAACAAAGCTCTGACTTTCCTCATGATAATGACTCCAATTTTAGAAGGAGAGGCTCAAGTATCCAATCTCCCACCCCACTTCTGTCCTGCAAGGGTGCCTCCCCTGCTGGTGCTCCTTAGGGCACATGCTGCCCTTGCAGCTGGGTCACTCAGGCTGCA